AAATTTTCAGAATATGATAAAGGTTGCACAAAAAACAAGAACTAAATGCATGGAAATTGATCTTTTTTATATTTCATATGAATTCTGAAAGCTATTTTTGATTTTGAGTTTGAAGCTTATTAGCGTCACCAGGAAATTGAGTTAGTAATTTGTATAGTTTGAGTAATATTGTATAAGTTGTTAAATATATACATGTATTTGAAAAACTGAATCTAATAATTAATTAAAATGATTGTAATAATTATGTTTAGAATATTACTGAAATCACCATGGATAAATGATAGAAATTGAAACTCATACAGATTTATGAGATATGCTCTTTTAAAAAAAATAAAAACCTCTTCATTTAAATATGAAGTGAAGTATTTTTAAATGTTTGGCTGAATTTGATGTTAAAATCACCAACATTTAAATAGACTTTCCTGGAATTATATTTTTATTGCAAAAACTGTATAGCATCTCATTGGAAACTACAGCAAAGTCTTTTATTTTGAAAAATTGCAAGAGTGATTAAAAATGTGTTGTAGCCTCTAGGGTTGTGCACTGAGGTGACCAACCAATTAGCTCTGTTTGAAATTCTATGATGATAAAGAAAGTAATTGTTGTACAATACTCTATGCTTTTGACTCTGTTTACACTGCAAAAAAGAAAACTCAATAAGTAGTTTTTTCTTAAAATAAGGGGATTTTTTCTTGAATTTAGGAGACAAGTGAGACACTTTACAAGTAATTGTATTGTCTTATTTCAAATGAATATTATCTAATTTTCTTATTAAAAGAGTAAAATAATCATTCCATTGGCAAATCATCCGATTTACCTATTAAAAATAAGGTTAAATATATTTAATTTAAGAATCTTTTACTTCTTTCTAGATTGTTTTTGCAGTGTACACGTCTTATTTATATCAGTTGCAGCATCAGTAAAAAAAATCAACATATTGAGTTTGAAAATGTAGTTTATTCCTTAGATGCCTTCTGTTGCTAATTAGCTTCAAACCAAAATGCTAAGATGATGAATAGAAAAAAGTAAACATTGTATAATATTATGTTTGGACTCTATTTATGCTTTATTCCATAATTAAATAATCAACAAGATGATAAATGTATTAAGTTTGAAACTGAGAATTTTTGCCCCCTTAGATGCTAGTTTCGCTAATTAGCATCATACCTACAGTATGCACTACAATTATTAAACAAATTAAGTTGAATGGATAAGTTAAATTAAATTAATTGTTTTACACATATTTGTTTTTAGTTCCATTTATAAATTTTGTTTGACCTTTAGCTGCAGCGATAAATAAATCAACATATTGAGTTTGAAAATATTGTTTATTCCTTAGATGCCTTCTGTTGCTAATTAGCTTCAAACCAAAATGCTAAGATGATGAACACAAAAAAGTAAACATTGTATAATAATATGTTTGGACTCTATTTATGCTTTATTCGATAATTAAATAATCAACAAGATGATAAATGTATTAAGTTTGAAAATGATAATTTTTGCCCCCTTAGATGCTAGTTTCGCTAATTAGCATCATACCTACAGTATGCACTACAGTTATTAAACAAATTAAGTTGAATGGTTAAGTTAAATTAAATTAATTGTTTTACACAGATTTGTTTTTAGTTCCATTTATACATTTTGTTTGACCTTTAGCTGCAGCAATAAATTAATCAACATATTGAGTTTGAAAATATAGTTTATTCCTTAGATGCCTTCTGTTGCTAATTAGCTTCAAACCAAAATGCTAAGATGATGAATAGAAAAAAAGTAAACATTGTATAATATTATGTTTGGACTCTTTTTATGCTTTATTCGATAATTAAATATTCAACAAGATGATAAATGTATTAAGTTTGAAAATGACAATTTTTGCCCCCTTAGATGCTAGTTTAGCTAATTAGCATCATACCCATGCACTACGATTATTAAACAAATTAAGTTGAATGGTTAAGTTAAATTAAATTAATTGTTTTACACATATTTGTTTTTAGTTCCATTTATAAATTTTGTTTGACCTTTAGCTGCAGCAATAAAATAATAAACATATTGAGTTTGAAAATATTGTTTATTCCTTACAGCCTCGTGTCGCTAATTAGCATCATACCTAAGCACTACAATGATTAAACAAATTAATTGTTGTACACTGATTTATGTTTTTAGCTCCATTTATACTTTTTGTTTGAGATTAACTGAGTCAATAAAAATGATTAAAATACTAAGTTTGAAAATGTTGTTTATTCCTTAGGTACCTTGTGTCGCTAATTAGCTTCATACCAAAATGTTAAAGGAATAGTACACCCAAAACATGATTAGCCTTCATTTTCTACTCACCTCCATGCTGAACAACACTCTGGAGTACTTTTTTGATATCTCAAATGCATCTGGAGATCTGGGAGGCTTCTTGCTGTCTGCTGACATTCAAATAATGGAGGTCCATGGCGCCCGAGACAGAAAGGTCCATAAAAGTCCACAAAAACGTGTCAATATTCCTCCATACTGCTCGTCCAATGTAATCCAAGTGTCCTGAGTGGGTAGCGTCCAGAATTTACTCGAAACGAAGTCATTTAGAATGTTTTTAGAGCATAAACAGTAGTGTATAGGATTTCCTAATAGCGCCCCCATGCGCGCTCACGATTCTACGGAAGCCGGCAGACCAAACCAGCGCATTCAGCTCGGCAAAGAACTCATGCTCTTCCTCAACACTGAAGTCCTCAGACATTTTTCTTTCGTTGTTTCTTTCTTTGCACAGGTAAACAGCACATTTCTTCTTCTACGCTTGCATTATCGGCAGACCAGACGCTGAATGCGCACTTTCTTCCGGTTTGGTCTGCCGGCTTCCGTAGAATCGTGAGCGCGCATGGGGGCGCTATTAGGAAATCCTATACACTACTGTTTATGCTCTAAAAACATTCTAAATGACTTCGTTTCGAGTAAATTCTGGATGCTACCCACTCAGGACACTTGGATTACATTGGACGAGCAGTATGGAGGAATATTGACACGTTTTTGTGGACTTTTATGGACCTTTCTGTCTCGGGCGCCATGGACCTCCATTATTTGAATGTCAGCAGACAGCAAGAAGCCTCCCAGATCTCCAGATGCATTTGAGATATCAAAAAAGTACTCCAGAGTGTTGTTCAGCATGGAGGTGAGTAGAAAATGAAGGCTAATCATGTTTTGGGTGTACTATTCCTTTAAGATGATAAAGAAAAAGAAAGTAATGATTGTATTATATGTTTTGACTATATTAATGTTTTTTTGATCACTTAATTATCAATAAGATGATAAACATTTCAAGTTTGATAAAAAAATGTTTTTCTTTAGATGCTAGTGTCGCTAATTAGCGCCATACCTAAGAACTAAAGTAATTAAACAAATTAATTGTTGTACACTGATATATGTTTTTAGCTCTATTTATAATTTTTTTTTGATATATCTGAGTCAATAAATTAATCAACATATTGAGTTTGAAAATATTGTTTATTCTTTAGACGCTTTGTATTGCTAATTAGGTTTGTTAAAATTGATAAGCTTTACTTAATCTAACATCTGATAGACATCTAAAACACACAAGATATATATATTTATATATATATGTTATTTTTTTAATAATTGATAAATCACAATTAACTGGTTTTATGGCTTTAGTCCTATTTCTGAAAACTGTGTCAGTCTTAGAGCTAAAGTTCATTTTAACTTGGTTCAAATGAAGCAATGTGGATTTAAACTTTTTATTTTTAAATTTTAAAGGCTCTGAGGCCAGGGCACTGGTGAAACGTGAGGTCCAGACCGAGGTGGAGCGGCTCACCCAGCTCCTGAAGGACATGTCCGCCAGCATCACCACCGCCACCCAGGACATGGTGGAGAAGATGAAGGCTCTGGAGATGACCAACACTGCCCAGTAAGAGCCTTTAGTTTCTACGCTAAGGTTCATTTAGCCAGTTATCATTTAAATCTGCTTCATCTTAGAGATTGTTTCCTTTGTTAAATTCAACGACCAGCCATCTGATTAATTCTCTTTTGGTGCCTTTAAAACCCTTTCATCTGATAACACCTGATAACAAGGGAATAATTGTGAAGAGAAAGATAAAAATTATACGATTTAAATCTTTTTAAATCAAATAAAAAGTCAGCGATTTATAGTCTAAATATATCAGCTTGTAACCCTAAAATACAGCAATGCAAAAGACTGGAGATTTCCTAAAAATTAGGGCTGAATGATTAAGAAAAAAAATCTAATTTGACATTATTTATCAAAAAATATTGCAAATTTTATATTTTCCTTTTCCAGGAAATTAGAGGTCTCCAGATTTTATTATTTTTTCCAAACTTAAAAGCTTGTTGTCCAGAGTCCATTGAGTCTTTCCTTTCTATTCAGATCTATAGATCTGCTTTCTACACTGGAAAAAATCAAAATCTAGATAAGTCATTTTTTTCTTAAAATAAGTGCATTTTTTCATGAATTGAGGAGGTAAAAGAAACATTTCGCCAATGGAACAAGACAATTTACATTTAAAATAAGAAAACACAAGTGCATTTTATCTAAATATCTTATTTTAAGAATAAAAAAATTAATTCCATTGGCAGATCATCTTATTTTCCTACTCAAAATAAGGGTAAATACACTTCATTCAAGACATTTTTACTTATTTTGAGATCATTTTTGCAGTGTAGCTGCGACTCTCTTCCCTACTGTAGCGCCTCCTAGAGGGCTGGGGTTAGATTCAGCATCTTACTCCTGTTTAATGTAAATTGTATTGTAGCGAAATTGCGTTGAAGTTGCTCATGAATAAAAATAAAACTTATTAAACTTATTTCAATTTTATTTTGTTAAAAAAAAGATGAAAAAGTTTGTTTTCCACTTTTGCATTTAGAAACTATGTCTGGTCAGAACTTTAGTTTTACATTGAGAAATATCAAAGGGTGTGAATACTTTAAGACTCCGTGTTCTAAAAATCTATAAACTGTCTTAAAATCCAAGGAGAGACATTTTTTCTACTTTACAAAGTTGACTTTATTGAACTTTTTTGTCTTTATAAAATAAAATCTGTAGCACAGAAGTTTTTTACACACCCAAAGAATCAAATATTAAAGCACAGGCCGTCATCTTTGTAGGTGAATGTTTCTTTTTTGCAGCTTTCACAGATTTCTTTCTCTGTCCCTTCGCTGTAGGACCTACATGGAGGGCAGCAGGGCCAGGATCCAGCCTCTGGTGGAGAAGGTCCAGGCTGAGGCCGCCAAGCTGCAGGAGCAGGTCAAGCCGTTCATCTCCAACATCGAGGAGCACGTCCGGCCCCTGACGGACGACCTCAACTCTCAGGTCCAGCCCCTGACCGAAAACCTGCAGGCTCAGGTGAAGCCCCTGACTGACATGATGGAGAAGTTTCTGCAGCAGGTGATGGAGCAGTCCAAGGCCCTGATGCCACCTCAGTGAACATCCACCCCAACAAAAAAAACGGACTCAGAATCTACTCTGAACGCTAAACACTGCCGACTGTTAAGTTTTACTGTTTCATTTCAACTCCATCAATAAAAGGGATTAAAAACTTAAGAGTTGTTTTTTCTGCTTTGTGTTAAAATTCACTTCTAAAACAGTGAAAAATGTCAAGAGATAAAGATGAACTGAAAATGTCTGGATCTGATCCGATCCGCTCAGTGCAGTAAACACCAGTATCTGCATCACCTCTGACCTGTTGCTTATCAGCCGCTCTGTCACTCGTCGCTCCACACAGAAAATAATCAAGAGCTGAGTCCTGTTTGATAATCAGATGAACTAACAGATACGGGAATAATTAACCTTATAAATGAGAAAAACAGAACTTAATTGTTGCAGAACGCTGAAAAGCAGAAATCTACTCTCTAAAATGTTGGAAGCAGCTCTGTAAGGAGTTAATGGATATAAAATACAGCTACCAGGATAGATTTAAACATTTAAAAATAAATAAATAAATGCAACCTTTCCTATAAAGGGTAAGCATTTCATTTTGCTGCAGAACTTCATCAGTATGATGTAAAAACGCTCTTCACAAACAGAATGGATCGAGTCGAGGAAGAGCAGACAGGTTTCATTGAGCTCGTGTCTCAAAGCAGGGAGGGAGACAATGACTTGTTGTCTGTCGAACAACAAAACAACAAAATCACTAGTCTTCCACGCCACTCCGGACCCATCAAACCCATCTGACTCCTTAAGGCAGCTCAAGCCTTGAGGACAGGGCAGCGTTTGGGTAAACCTTGGCGGCGGCTCTCCTCCTCCTCCTGAAGGCCGCGGCAGAACTGGCAGTCCTGAGCGGCCTTCTCCTTGTCCTCCCTTAGATTAAACCAGCCAAACCTTTCAGAAACAAATCAACGGGGGTTTTCCACCCACCGCTTTTCATTCTTCAAACCGGCAGCATTAAGAATGAGTTTTAAATGTTAGATTCAGTGTCTAAGGGGAGGACTCTGTCCTGAAGGAAGGATGACGTGCATCAGGGTTATCCAAAGCGTGCCGCCGACGGTGGCCCTGAAAGCTGGAACACAGAGAACACAGCAGCTTGATGAACCCTGATGGTACAGAGTGAGAGATAAACCCATCATCTACCGTCAAATCTTAAAGCTTTTTCAGATAACTTCTATGAATTAAGTCACGTTTGAGGTTTGAAATGTGAAATTTCTTGTGAATGTGGAGTTTCTTTTGGTTTGGATGATTGGATTTTCCCAAAAGAAGCTGCTTAGGGCTTATTTTTTTCCTTCCTTCACCAGCAGCTCGCATCGCTCGGTCATCGGAAGGAGCCGTTCCCAAACGGATCACCTTCAACCACCCTTTAAAATGTCCAAATGAACATTTCCTTTTCTGAACGTATCTGCTGGAAACAGGATTAAAGTCATCGGCGTCTAAAGTCAGTGATGCCTTCACTGGAAACATGAACCAGTGGAGGAGCCGAGGCATAACAACAGGTGTTACTACGGCCGGTGCAGAAGTTTAGAGTCTGATACGAACTGCTTTAACAGTTAAATACGGACATTTGTGTCACAATCCACCACCTGATCAGATAATCTTCAGATTTTTGCATTCGATGGGGTCTTTTTGACTTTTTCCACACTAGAGATCAACCGATCAATCAGCCGGTGATCAGAATCAGCCAATTCTTCCCATAATTGATCTATCAAAGACAAAAACAGGTGGCAGTGTGTATCTTAGTCCTTTGAAACAAAGTATAAATCGAATTAATCTAGGAACGCATGCTTTGATAGAGAAAATGGGATAATCTTTTATTTTCTGTTAGGTGCAGAACTACCATCCTTGTCAGGAAACAGGAAAAGCATTATTATTAAGACTAAAACTGCAAGAAAAACCTAAATCTGATGGACAGACCTCCTAAAAATTGGCAACGACCAAGAAAAGCCTGATTGGTGCATCTCTGATCAGCATTTAAGGCGAGGTGGGCTTCCAATGCGACTCAGTCTGCATGTTTTTATGTCTGCTCATTAGTTTTGGGGATATTTTTGCAAAGTATGTCACATAAGTGCCATTATTTTAGAATGCATGATGAGAGTTAAGTGATATTCTTTAAGTTTTAAACATCATTTCTGTTCTAGTTGCATTTAAAACTTATATGAAGCAGTGAAACATCAGTTGATTTTGCAGGAAAACCTGAGAGAAACTGGGCAAGATTAATAGATGGAGATGAGAGAAGCATTATTTGAAGTGAATGAAATATGTAGCTTTACAGATGATGCAGAAAGCAAAGATTTCACTGATGGGGAAATTGTTTCCACTTACCGTTTCTGAATTGGACACCTGGGGACATCCACGCAGGGGGCCGACGGCAGGAGCACAAAAGGAACAATTTTCTTTCAGGGAAAAAAAGAAAGAAAGAAGAAGAAAATAAAAAAAATGTTTTCAAAATGTTGCGGCGGTTCTCAAAAGAAAAAAGGCAGAATGATTAAGAGTTGAGGGTCTGAGACCTGCGCTCAGAGATGGCCTCTGCGGAGGGAAAGCCTGCTCTGCCTCGGCTGGTCGGCGGAGAACAACTGATAGACGTGTTTTTGCTGGTTATGTTTTAACTGCGGACTGACAGACAGACGGCCCCCATGCACACAGGTGCTATTCAAGGAAACTGTGTAAACGTGACGTCACAGAGAAAATCTGGCCCATAAACCTTTTTCCAGAACCAAAATCCCGCCCACTTCATGCTGGTCACATCTTTTCTCCCATTTTTCCATTTCTCTAACTGTCTCTTCAGCTCTTTGTCTGACCTTCTAGATTTATATCTCTATAAAAACACATTTCAACAAACTACCATGCGGCAGAAAGCGGTTGATCCCAAAATTTTGCTTTTTAAACTCGCTCGTTCTGCTGTCTCTCCGTCTCACAGGCTGAACAGTTTCCAATCAATACCTGTTTATTTTTCTCTTTCCTCGCCAGATTTGATTTTCTTCTCTGTTGTTTTTTTTTCGTGTCTGTTTCTTTCTTTTCTTTGTTTTTTGGAAGCAAAAAACCACCAAAACCAAAGCGTATCCCAATTTTCAAAGCCCCCCCCCCCCAATTTGGAGCACGTCTGCTTCCCTCTAATGCTGAAACACCACTTTGTGAAATTACAGTACAATTTTGAAAAGTAGAAACAGGCAGCAAGCAATTCAGGTGCTCAGCCTCTGCAACAATAGAGCGCTGGCCTTGGTGATGGTTGCTAGGCGATGGAGGAAACACAATGGCCTCCTCTGAAACCAAAGGCCCTTAAGTGGACTGACAGGAGCGAACGCACACACACACACACACACACACACATATGCATACATACATGCATAGATCCATGCAGAGCAACTCATGAAACAGAGCAACACATGGGAAAAGAAGCAAGTGAAGCTGCACCTTGTTCAGGACAGGAAGCCTTGAAGGAAAGGAGCAGCTTGCCTCAAATCTCTCTGCATATTCTTATTCATTGCAAAGCATAAGGAGCTTATTTCGGCATCCTTCATCAGGCCTTTTTTGAAAGCTGAAGCTTCGGATGGAGGGACGTACCGATTGGTCACAACATCAATATGGCAACAGTCTCTCTGCAGCATCATCTATTCCCTTTCCTCTAAATAAAAACCCAAAACGATATAAGTCAATCAAAACACTGGAAAAACGATCTAGAAATAAGTAAAAATTTCCTAAATTAGGTGTATTTACCCTTAATCTGAGTAGGTAAATAAGAAAGTTTGCCAATGGAATGAGTATTTTTACTCTTAAAATAAAATCATTAGATAATATGCACTTGAACTAAGACAATGCAATTGTTTTTTTCTTATTTTAAATGTAATTTGTCTTGTTCCATTGGCAAAATATCTCTTTTACCTCCTTAATCCAAGAAAAATTCACTTATTTTAAGAAAAAATTACTTTTTTTCCCAGTGAACACACCTTATATGGTATCGAAAATGGTTTTGTGCAATTTTCATAATTACAAATCCCGACTTGGGTGCCGTATTACTATTACAGCGCAAATGACCTGCATTAACACCCAGCATGTAAATAATAGAATGGGGGGACTCTAGCTGCCCTTGGTGCTTCAACATGGCACAGACATGCAAACATTGATTTGTATGGCTGAAATTCTCCATCCTCTGGCATGTGGGGCAGAAATCTTAAAGACAGAAAAAGAGAAAAATGCAGTTCACTGCAGAAAAATTGAAATCTAAATAAGAAATGTATTTTTAGAATAAGTTTTTTTTCTTGAATTGAGGAGGTAAGTGAGACACTTTGCCAATGAAACAAGACTATTTACATTTAAAATAAGAAAAAAAAACTATTGCAGTGTTTTATTTCAAGTGCATATTATCTAATTATAATATTTTAAGGGTAAAAGTACTCAATCCATTGGTAAATCATCTTATTTACCTGCTCAAATTAAGGGGAAATACATTTAATTTCAGAAATTGTTACTTATTTATACATAGTTTTTGCAGGGTTGCATTTTTTTTAAAATGGTATTACCCTAATTTTTATTAAAACTAAATCAGCTGTTATGTATGCTAACATGAATGCAGGAGTGGATGGAACAGAAATATCACTTATTGTCTGACTCTGAGGAAGATCGGATAACCAGCAGCAAAAGGAAGAATGCAGATTTTTACACAAAGGGAAAATATATGAATGCAACAAAATAAAAATGAGAGAATGATTAAAAAAGAAGATTAAAGTTAGAGTTACAATTTTGCTAATGAGGTAGGTCTGTATATGGGACAATTTTTTCCCATTATTATTGCAAACAAAGAAGATGTTTTGTGAAAAGAAATGCAAAGAAAATGCATTCCAGAAATGAAACTTTAAAAGCCTTAATTGAAAGAGGCCCAGTAAGAACACAAGGTCTTGACACGCACATTGATTAATAAAAACGTTGGTCCAGCAGAGTAATAGAAATGCATCTTCTCTCTTCACTCCAGAATAAAGCTGCACCAGAAGTAAAAAAAAAAAAAAAAACTTGATCTTTATAACCTAATTTAAAAACAGTAAGATCTGTAAAACTCAATCTGAAGACAGAAATAGAATTAAACAAAATAAAACTAAATGAATATTTAAAAAGAAATGGAATAATACAAAATTATTAAATAAAATCTGAAAAAACCCCAGAAGATTTACTCTCAAAAAATTTTTTTTATTCAGACATTTTTCAGTTTTATTTCTAGATGGCATTTCTTTGTAATTATTTCTATTTTCATTTTTTTAATTACTTCTATTCATGAAAGTTTTGCTTTGCTTTCAATAACAATGGAACACAATTCACTTCATACATTTGAATCATTGTTGCTCCTAAGAGGATTTCTGTCTATTTAGTCAAATCTTTCATAATTTTGCCTTTCAAAATTCTTGCGCATTCTGAACCCCTTCCCGAAGCGGTCACATGGTTTCACGGTAACGAGGCCTCGGACGTCATCAATTTTGGCCCCTCCTCTAAATGAATCACACCTCGACACGCGCTTCGTGGAAACGCCCCCTCCATTACTCGACACACACCTCGAAGCCTCGGCTCATCTCATAACATCACTAGTATTTTGCATTTTTACCTCTGTTCCCCTTGGACTTTAAATCATCAAAACTCCTCTGTGCCTACTCCTCTCTTCATAGGGGTCCTCAGAGCCACCATCCAACTTGACACAACAACAGATACAGCACTGGGACTTGATCAACAGCCGATACCGCACCGTGACGTCACAAACCGGTAGGTGGCAGTAGTGTTCTTTGACAAACATGGATGCCTCCAGCAAAGCACATTCAAAGGAAAATTACTCTTAATTAAAAACGCTTATCATTTATTGAACAGTATCTATTGAAACTTATCTAGATTTTGATTTTTTTTTCTATTGCACTGCAAAAAATATAAATCTCAATAAGTTATTTTTTCTTAAAATAAGTGTGTTTTTCCTTGATTTGAGGAGATAAGTAAGACACTTTGCCAATGGAACAAGACAATTTCCTTTTAAAATAAGAAAAAACTATTTTATCGTCTTATTTCAAGTAAATATTATCTAACTATCTTATTTTAAGAGTGAAAATACTCATTCCATTGGCAAATCATCTTATTTACCTGCTCAAATTAAGGCTAAATATACTTAATTTAAGCCATTTTTTACTTATTTCTGGATTGTTTTTGCAGTGTGCAGCTAGCTCACTGCAAAAAATCTAAATCTAGATAAGTCATTTTTTCTTAAAATAATTGCATTTGTTCTTGAATTGAGGAGGTAAAAGAGACATTTTGCCAATGGAACAAGACAATTTATACTTAAAATAAGAAAACACAGTTGCATTGTCTTATTTCAAGTGCATATTATCTAATTATCTTATTTTAAGAGTAAAATTACTCATTCCATTGGCAAACTATCTCATTAACCTGCTCAAATTAAGGGTAAATACACTTAATTTAAGAAATCTTTACTTATTTCTAGATCGTTTTTGCAGTGCTGCACTGGAAAAAAACGAAATCTAGATAAGTAATTTTTTCTTAAAATAAGTGCATTTGTTCTTTGATTGAGGAGGTAAAAGAGACATTCTGCCAATGGAACAAGACAATTAACACTTAAAATATGAAAACAGAATTGCATTGTCTTATTTCAAGTACATATTATCTAATTATCTTATATTAAGATTAAAACACTCATTCCATTGGCAAACTATGTCATTTATCTACTCAAATTAAGGGTAAATACACTTAATGTAAGAAATTTTTACTTATTTCTAGATCGTTTTTTTCAGTGTGTGCACTGCAAAAAATATAAATCTCAATAAGTTATTTTTTCTTAAAATAAGTGTGTTTTTCCTTGATTTGAGGAGATAAGTAAGACACTTTGCCAATGGAACAAGACAATTTCCTTTTAAAATAAGAAAAAACTATTTTATCGTCTTATTTCAAGTAAATATTATCTAACTATCTTATTTTAAGAGTGAAAATACTCATTCCATTGGCAAATCATCTTATTTAACTGCTCAAATTAAGGCTAAATATACTTAATTTAAGCCATTTTTTACTTATTTCTGGATTGTTTTTGCAGTGTGTTCACTGGAAAAAATCGAAATCTAGATAAGTAATTTTTTCTTAAACTAAGTGCATTTGTTCTTGGATTGAGACATTTTGCTAATGGAACAAGATTTACACCTAAAATAAGAAAACACATTTGCATTTTCTTATTTCAAGTACATTTTATCTAATTATCTTATTTTAAGAGTAAAAATACTCATTCCATTGGCAAACTATCTCATTTACCTACTCAAATTAAGGGTAAATACACTTAATTAAGACATTTTTACTTATTTCTAGATTGTTTTTCCAGTGTTCTGTCAATTTCTCATTCTTCCAGTATATATCTGCTCCAGATCATAACAAGTGTAACCACCTCAAAAGATCTTTGCCCTATAAATCACAGCTAAGTTTTAGTAGATGTGAGTTTTGTCAAACTGCCTGTTCACTAAAGAAAAAAAACAACATTTGTTAATTTTTTCATTTGCAGCCTTGTATTGTCTTTACCTCTAACCTAAATCTGAAGAAATGTTGGACGTTTGACAAATATATTAAGAAGGTTAATTTTCTTCTCCACGTCTAACA